CACTCGGGCGAGGCGCGCTACCGCTGCGAGGACTGCGGCAAGCTCTTCACCACGTCCGGCAACCTCAAGCGGCACCAGCTGGTGCACAGCGGCGAGAAGCCCTACCAGTGCGACTACTGCGGCCGCTCCTTCTCCGACCCCACCTCCAAGATGCGCCACCTGGAGACTCATGACACCGACAAGGAGCACAAGTGCCCTCACTGCGACAAGAAGTTCAACCAGGTGTGTGGGCACCTCCCGCGGGCGTCCGGCCCTGCACACTGAGCCGGGGGAGGTGGCCCCTGGGCTGGGGGAGCCCCCGCCCCTCGTGGGAGGCACTCAAGGACACAGGCTTAGTGGGGAAAGTAGGGGGCTGAGTAGAAGGCGAGCCCCGCCCCTCGCCCCTGGGATAGAGTTCTTGACCGCTCTGCAGGGGAAAGTGGGAAGGCAGGTGAAGTCAGAGTGGGATTCGGACCAGAAAGATGTGGGGTGGAGATGGTTTCCCTTCCACTGCTGGGATCTAGAATGTTCCATCAGCCTTGAGGAAAGACGGAGCCATCCACAGGCCCCTGGGAGGACCAAGAATCAGGTGTCCCCTGGCGAGAAGGGCTGCCAAGGGGCCCGGAGCCTCGGGCCCTGTGGCGTGGGTGGTCTTCCTGAGCCTCTGCCCGGCGCAGGTGGGAAACCTGAAGGCCCACCTGAAGATCCACATCGCTGATGGGCCCCTCAAGTGCCGCGAGTGCGGGAAGCAGTTCACCACCTCAGGTAGGGCCAGGGCTGCCTGGCTGCCCCGTCCCTCCGGTCCTCAGCCGCCCAGTGGTGCCCCACGCCAGGCCCCCCCCTCGGTCTCCCCAGGGAACCTTAAGCGGCACCTTCGGATCCACAGTGGAGAGAAGCCGTACGTGTGCGTCCACTGCCAGCGACAGTTCGCAGACCCCGGCGCCCTGCAGCGGCACGTCCGCATCCACACGGGTGGGTGAGCGGGCCAGCGGGGGCGGGGGTTGGGGAGGGCGCGTGGGAGGAGGAGTAGGTGCCAGCACCTTCTGCCCCGTCCCTAGGCGAGAAGCCATGCCAGTGCGTGATGTGCGGCAAGGCCTTCACCCAGGCCAGCTCCCTCATCGCCCACGTGCGCCAGCACACTGGGGAGAAGCCCTACGTCTGCGAGCGCTGCGGCAAGAGGTCCTGCCCCGTCCGTCCCACCTGTGTTCAGGGCGCCGTGGGGTCCCCGCTCTCCGCCCGCTGCAGGGGGCCGGGAAACAAATGAGGGTTCTGTGGGGACCTGGGCCGACGGCTGCCCGAGCCCAGGCAATGGGTCCAGGGGTCCCCTTCAGTCTAGGAGATGGGGCAGGAGGCCTCACCCAGCTCCCCCGGGCCCAAGTTTGGGCCGTTCCTTGCGAGCCCCTCTGCCTGTGGCTCTGCAGATTCGTCCAGTCCAGCCAACTGGCCAATCACATTCGCCACCATGACAACATCCGCCCCCACAAGTGCAGCGTGTGCAGCAAAGCCTTCGTGAACGTCGGGGACCTGTCTAAGCACATCATCATCCACACTGGTGAGTGTGTGCCCACTTGCCCACCCGTCCTGTCTCAAGCCCGGCTCTCGGTTTGGGGTGGTAGGAAGGGAGGTATCCCCTGATCCCAGCCTTGCGTGCTGGTACTTGCTGCAGGTGGCTCTGAAGGCAGTTCAAGTCAAATGAGGACCCCATTTTCTTAGAGCTTCCAGAAGGTGCAGAGGCCACTGGAGGCTTCCGTGCAGCTCTGGTGGCTGCCCCAGAGCACTTCCTACTGAAGAAGAGATGGGTTCTGGGGAAGCTGGAGGCCACTGAGGTCCTCCCCCCTCCCCCAATGGCAGGAGAGAACCTTGCCTCCCCCCCCAGGAGAGAAGCCTTACCTGTGTGACAAGTGCGGTCGTGGCTTCAACCGGGTGGACAACCTGCGTTCCCACGTGAAGACCGTGCACCAGGGCAAGGCTGGCATCAAAATCCTGGAGCCAGAGGAGGGTGGTGAGGTCAGCGTGGTCACTGTTGATGACATGGTTACGCTAGCCACTGAGGCACTGGCGGCAACGGCTGTCACTCAGCTCACAGGTGCGGGCTATGGGCAGCAGAGGGTTGTCATGGGCAGCTTGCCTCTGGGGTGGCAATGAAGGGGCAGGTGCCTCTGGCCTTAGGCCCTGCTGATTCTGCCCACAGTGGTACCAGTGGGGGCTGCGGTGACTGCCGACGAGACAGAAGTACTTAAAGCAGAGATCAGCAAAGCTGTGAAGCAAGTGCAGGAAGAAGGTGAGAGGGGCTGCCCGAGTGTGAAAGCTGGTGAACTGAGGGTCCTTCCCATCCTGACTATGGCTCCCACCTCCTGCAGACCCCAACACCCACATCCTCTATGCCTGCGACTCCTGTGGGGACAAGTTTCTGGATGCCAACAGCCTGGCTCAGCACGTGCGGATCCACACGGCGCAGGCACTGGTCATGTTCCAGACAGATGCGGACTTCTACCAGCAGTATGGGCCAGGCAGCACGTGGCCGGCCGGACAGGTGCTGCAAGCTGGAGAACTGGTCTTCCGTCCTCGGGACGGGACCGACGGCCAGCCCGCTCTGGCAGAGACACCCCCCACAGCCCCAGAATGTCCACCACCTGCCGAGTGAGCAGGCATCCCTCCTCCTGTTTATTTAAGGATGGGTGGTCCCGTTCCCTAGAGAGAATAAATTTGATTATTTTCTAATGCTGCCTATAGCTCCCTGTGGGGGTAGGGCGGGGAGCTGGCAGCTGTGGCTGGCTAATGCCACAGAAGGGCTGCTCCACCCAGAGACCAGCTGGCAGAGACCTGCTTCTTGGGAAAGCCAGGCCGTCCCTTCTGTGAAATGGGACTGGAGCCCTGGGACCTGTGTAAGCAAGCTGGCTGCTTTGTCCGGGTCAGGGTGCAGGCAGCACACTTGGGGCCAGAGCGTGTGGCTCCATGCACCCTACTCCCTCGTCCAGCCTCCTCTTTGGAGGCTTCTCACCTGTTCACTTTGAAGACCCTACCACCTCTGCTGTGGAGCTCAGCTGCGATCCTGCTGCCCCTCTGCCTGGGGCTTGGGAGCTGGGCCCGCAAAGGCTGGCCACACTGCTTACCAGGATCCAGGCAGCCCAGACAGAGCCCAGCTCAGGGACCACCACTCAGCCAGAACAGCAAGGTAGGCAGAGAGAACCAGGCCCAGCAGGCCAAGGGCCCAGTTCTGTTGAGCTTGTTGGGGAAGTGGGAGGGCTCTGCACACTTCATAGTATCCCTGGCCCAAGGATCAAGGCTAAGCCAGTGCCATCTTTTGGGAACATTTACTTGTCCCGAATCAGTGGAGTCTCTCCCACCAGGCTGAGGGCCGAGAGGAACAACTGTGAGCAGCCAGGAGTTTTGATGGGGAGGTGGGGGACACAGCACTGCTAAACTAGGAGCAGCAAGCAGGGCCGGCAGAGCAGGCAGGTGCTGCTCTGAGATGCTGTCTCTGTCCCTTTTCCACACAGTTCATCCCTCACTCAGAGATGGTACCTTCTTATACCAGAAATGTGGGTCTGTCTGGAGGGGCCTCTTGGATATTCAAGTGAGACCACCAAATCCATGGCCCATGTTCCCTCTTGTCCCCGTCCCTGCCCAGTTCCCTAGCTTGTAGTGCATCCAGCTGCAGGGGAAGTCTGGCCCCCTGCCCCGCCCTGTTAGGAGCTACAGGAACACCATCAGGCCAGCCTGCACCACACCCAGAAAAGGAAAGGGCGAGAGACAAGACACCAAAGCTTATTCAAGATGTTCCTGAGTTTGCATGGGGGCATAGTTTTACCTGTATCCAAATTCGAAGTGCCTTCCACATTACCCAAGAACCAGTCAGGGCCTTTAAGTGTCACAGATATTTACATACACCATGGCATTGAAAACTGGTTCAAGTTCAGTCTGTGATGAAAATTTTTTTATACAAGACAGAATGGTCCTTGGGGAGGACTGAGTGGCTGAAATGAAACAGGTCCCATATACTGGGCAGGGGGGGAAGCAAAAGTGGGATGAGGGCTAGCTATTCCCATAAGCCAAGGACACTTGGTCTTCCCACCCAAGTGACCATCACATCCACACTTGACATGTTTTGTATTTTTTAATAAAGTTTGTAATCCAATGGACACACAAAACAAAACTGCGCTGAGAAAAACAGTTTCATAAATTAATAAGTGTTAGGAAGTTGGGGGAGAGGTCAAGGTCACAGGAAGAGGGAAGCCAGTCTTTTTGTACAGTCTCTGTGTGTATGTGTGTGTGTGACACTTCCAAATCGCGGGGCAGGGCCCGTGCTATAATGAAGTGCACTTATACAAATGAGTGACAATACAAAGTCTGAGTATGAAAATAAGATTTTCTCTGAAAACACATTTTTGGCACAGATTAAAAAAAATGTATGTCAGGGGAATTTGATTTTTTAAGTCAGTATTATATATATTTATATATATTATATATTTATATATACACACATCCCAAGTTCTGCATATACCACCAAGACAGAAAATCCTTCTGTTTGCTCTTTTCCGATTGTAAACTGTACATTCTGGGTGAAACAGAGATGGTGGTGGCAGGAGAATTAAGAAAGGTGACATCCAAATGAGCAAGGGGAAGGGAGAGGTTGGGGACAAAACAACCCAATGAAATGTTCCTTGACCCCAAGGTTTCAGCAGTTTGAAGTCCTGTGTTAGAGTCCGTGATGTGTGTTCATGTACACCAAGACATCCAAGAGTGTCACAGCCTGTCTTCACTGTGCAAAAGTCCAAGTCACTAATTTAGTGCAAAGGCAGTTCTGTTTTCTTGTTTCTTAAAAACAAAACAACAAAATAATTAATTCCACTGCCCTGTTCCTTTTCTCCAAAAAGAGGAGAGAGAAACCCAGCCCCAAGGTGTCTGCGAGTCCATCGGTTGGTGGTCTGTCCTTGGGTTAAAAGTCATGTAAACATACAAGTAGCAGCACCACTGCCCAGAGGGGTCTGTCCGACTGAGCCGGGCAGGCAGGAGGGCGAGGCTGGCCGTCTGGCAGTGGAGTCTGTCCCCTTCGGCAGCTTCTTCCTCCACTTGGCTGGGTTGTCCTGTGTTGTTTTACTGCGGAGCCTCAGGAAAATACACCAAGTGGTGACCATTCAGTGGCTCACACAGACACAGAGGCAATGACAATCATGAGGTGGGGAGAAATGTTGGAGATGCTGGCGAGAAGGTCGGGGGCCAGACGGGACAGGTGACTCTCAGAGAACTCGCAAGGTGGGAAGATCTGCAGCACATAGGCGGGCTGGAGAAGGGGACAAGAGAGAAAAGTGGGACCCCCTGTCTTTGCATGAAAGGAAGAATGGTAATGGAGTGGGCAAACATCTCCAACTGGGGCCCTGAAGCAGCCCAACGGAGAGAGCCAGGTTGAGTAACTTTCCCAACCAGCTAACATCTCCATGACTGTCCACCAGAAGAAAACCAAGTGTCAGAAAACTACCTGGGACCCTCTTCTATATCATTAAGCTAAAGAAAAATCTCTGCTGTTTCCATTTTCTCTTGACTGTCTCCAAGATGGGTGATGGCAGCCCCGCCCACACACTGCTTGTTTCCCTCTATCCAGTCTGCCCTTTGCCCACCTCGGGGAAACTTCCAGGCTATCTACCCTAGCTGGCACTCGTAGCCCACGCCACCAAATTAGTCAGACTGCCTGACCAGCCCAGCCCAGCCCCACCTGTGCATGCACTGAGGAAGGACATGGCACAAGGCTGACCTGATTGGAGCCAGGGTTGGGAACGTTGATGATCCCTGCTGCCTGCTTGGCCTGCAGGTAGGTGATGAAGGCAGCCTTGAGAGACTCGGTCTGGCTCACGACGTCCTCTTGATCACGGCCACAGGGTAGAGCCAGCAGCAGACAGTAATCTGTCTCCACCTGGGATGGAGGCAGCTGTCAGTAGTGATCAGGGGCCTGACTAACCCAGGAGATCTGGCTCTGAAGTCTACAAAAGTCCCCACCTCTAAAATGACCTTAAAGTCCACTCTCGTATTTATTTGTTGAATGAAAAATAGCCTTATTTCTAGTCTAGAGGCATGGTACACCCCCAGTGGAGACAGAACATGCTCATCTCTAAGAATGCCGTAATACTGCACCCCATAAGCCAGGGAGACAGGCAGCTGGGAGCCACCCATATCTTACCTCCCTGGGGATGGGGAAATTGCTCACCTGGGCCATGTCTTACCGTCATCCTTCGGGCAACCCCTTCCAGTTGTGTGACCTCCAGCCGCATTCTCTGGGCAATCCTCAAGGGGGGACCTCCGTCAGACAGGGGCAGAGAACGATGGGCCAGGACATTGTTGCCCGAGACAAAGTGGAGCTGCACAGCAGCTGTGTCATTCTTGAGGGCCAGGAGGCCCTGCCACACGATGGGGTACTTCTGCCAAGAGGAAACAAACAGGAAGTGAGCTTATGGCTAGAGAAGAGAGCTATGCTTGCTGGGCTAAATCAAGTGGGAACTGGAGGGTAGTAGGGGGTGACCCCTCCCAGGCTTACCTTCAGAAGCTGGACCATATCCACAGGCCTCTGGGAAGTCAAGTGTGGAGAGGAGTCTTGTTTGGGGGAGGGTTGGGCTTCGGCATGCAGCAGAGCCAGTCCTGGAGGGGTACTGGGGCCTGAGGTTGTGGGGACAAACAATGGCTGCTTTGGCGGGGGCTGAGCAGGGAGAGGGCCCGGGAGGTCAGGCTTCATGGAAACAGACACAGGGGAGGGATAGGAGGTCTGGCTTGTTTCTGTCTGTGCCCTCTGAACCTGGCCATGAGGCTCAGCTGGCCTATTTGCAGGTATGGTCGGGAGGCGAGGCTGCTCTACTCCTGTCTGGGTCCCCTTCGCTTCCTGGGAGACCTGGGGCATCTTGCTGCTTGGTGGCTGGCCTGGCTGGCTGAGCTGAGAGGACTGGCAGGGCTGCGTGGGCTGGGCAGGCTGTGTGGACTGCACGGGTTGGGCAGGCTGTGTAGACTGTGCAGGCTGAGTGGGCTGCAAGGGCTCACCTTCAGGAGGGGGACCCTGGAGTTGGGCGGGAAGAGAAAGGAACAGTCAGAATCTTATGCACCACACCCTGCCCCCAACCAAACGGACCCACACAGGGTCCGTTTGGTCCATGCAAGGGGCTTTAACCACTCGGTGATGCTCTCGGGCATTCAGGACTGAGGGTTCTGGTAAGAGGAGGTCACTTGTTCTCTCCCTCCCCATCCCTGCAGGCAGAAGCCACCACTCCACCCACTCCCACAAAGAGCTCTTTCCTGTGTCCCTGAGCTCTGTACTGTCATCTGATCCCTTCATGCCGAAATTTAGGAAATGCCTCTTTAAACCCACTAAAAGGATAGCATACTTTAGGAGCCACACTGGCACCTCAACCACTATTTGGTGATTTGGAAGGCTGATTTTAAGTGCTCTCACCTGAGTGGGAGCCTTGGTCCGGGAAGGTAGGCCGATGGAGGCAGTGGCAGGAAATTGAGCGTGTGTGAGCTGAGCTGGGCCATGGTAAGTGCGGATGTCCCCGTATCGGTACTCCTGAAACAGCTCCCCGCTGGAGTGCACGATCTGCACCCCGTGGGTCACCACCACTGGCGGGCTCAGAGGCAGCCCCTGGAGCTGGTTGCTGGGCGTGACTGTGAGGATGCGGGCCTCACTGTGAGGGGCTGGGGCGGGGGCTGCTTTGGCATCTGCCATCTTGGCAGACTCTTTTCCTGGCTGCTGAGGGGCCTTGCTGGCTGGCGGCACCTTCACAACCCCATCTGCGGCCCGGGGCTGCTCGCTGACTGCCGTCACGTGGGGATGCACCATGATCCTCACGTCCCGGGGCACAGTGTACGGGTGCAGTCGGTACTCGGACTGCATGACCAGCACTTCCGACTGCACGGGGGCTGCAGCTCGAGCAACAGGGAGGTGATAATGCACTTCTTCCTCCGGAGGGTGCTGGGAGGCCAGGGCAGGCACACCAGCTGTGGCTGGCTGGGGTGTGCCTGCGCGCTGTGGGGCCCTGACCTCTATTTGCTGAGGCTGCAGGGGGGCACGAGGAGAGTGAAGGGCCTCTGGCCGGATGCTGTAGGTGATGCTGGGCAGCGTGGGTGTGTTCATTCTCACTTCACCCTGGGATAGATGGCTAAGGGACACAGTCTGGGTGATGCTGTGGGGTGGCATGATGACAGACTGCTCTGGGTGTATGCTTGAGATGAACTGAGGCACAGGGATGCCTGCAGCCAGCATGACTGTGGCATTAGTGGGGAGTGCAGTAGATGCGGTGCTACTGGGGGGGCACGCTCTTGGGAATGGGGATGGAGCAGGCCCACTGGGTCGAGGAGAATGTGCATCGGGCTTTGTGGCTGTCAAATGGGAGACAGTTCGCTCTGTCTGGCTACTGGGTCCCGAGGTGACGTGATTCACTTCTGCAGGCAGTTTGCTGGGCAGAGCAGGAGGGTGGTGGGGAGTGAGAGTAGACCCCAGGTTAGCTGGCTGAAGGACCTTGGTCTCTATTTTGAGGGTGACGGGGTCAGCAAGCTTTTTATTAGTGGTGACTATGCTCGGGGTGAGGACCAGCTGGTTGTGAACCAGCACTGGGGGTGTGTTTATGCCCTGGGTGAGAACCTTCACTGTGCCACCCTGGGTGACAGGTGTGGACACAGAGAGGTGAATGGGCTCAGGCTTCTCCAAGGATGGACGGTCAGTCTTGACAGATGAAATCACCGGAGATGCATTGTACGTCTGGGCAGTTAGCACCAGAGTAGAATGGGTGGCCACGTTCGCATAGCCTGAAGGAGCCTGAGGGCCTTTGGGTGGAGGCTGCGATGGTGTGACAGAATCGGGTTTGGCCTGGGACTTGGACACGGACTGCTGAAATTCAATGTCCATTGCACTCGCCGGGGGTATCTGGCTAATCTTGGCACTGATCCGCTGGGGGCCTTCAGTCTTCTGCCCCGAATAGCTCAGGAGCACAACCCCTTCTGAAGTGTTCACACGCAACCCAGCACCAGAGCCTGTGTCTGCTGGACGCTCGTCAATCACAGACATAGACCCCGGGTGAAACCGACTGTTTTCATTAGCACTCGATCTCTGCTTGCACTTCACTGATGGTCCAATCACTGCACCTGACACAGTCACTGCACCTGTTGTTGTGGCGGTCACACCGCCAGATGCAGCAGTCACCGCACCTGCTGTGACCGTCACCGCACCTGCTGTGGCGCTCACTGCACCCGCAGCAGCGTTTACTGTGCCCACAGTGGCGTTCACGGGAGTGGTGAGAACGTTCACCGGCCCTGTCAGAACATTCACTGGCCCCTTCAGGACGTTGACAGAGCCCGCAGGAGTGTTCACCAGACCTTTCAGTGTGGTCACTGAGCCCTTCACAGGGCCTTTCAGAGCATTCACTGGGACCAATGAGACATTCACCAGGCCGGTAAGGGCACTTACCAGGCCAGTCAGGGTTTGAGGAGCTTGTTTTGCCAGAGTTATCTTTTGTGAATTCTCCAAATCAATGCTGACAGGCATCCGGCTAATAACAGAAGTAATTTTGGGAGCAATGACTGGAGCCACCTTTTCCTTGTCAGTGGCTACCGGAACCTCTGAGGCCTGTGTGTTGCAGGTGTTTGTTACCGGAGCTGCTGGTTTTTCTTCTAAAAGAGGCTTTTTAGATTCAACTGGAGGGGGTGGTGCCTCATGCAGGCAAGGGGCAGCACTGACAGGCTCTGCAATGGCAGTTGTGACACTTGTGGAAGTGATGCCTGTGGCAGATACATACTTGGGGTCCATGAGGATCTTTCTCAGCGTACTGGAGCTCGTATCAATGTCAGAGGCTTTTGTGTCTGGGGGAAGAGCTGGTGACGGGGTAGACTGAGCCCGTGGCTCCTCCTGCCTTGTGATCCACTCTGTCACCTTAGCAGGGGAACTCTGGTGTGGGATCCCTCCAGAGGCAGCAGGGGGTGGGAGCTTTGCTGCGGTTACAGTAGGAATCGGGGTGGGCATGCTGGAGTCACTGGGCGGGGTCACTGGATCACTTTCAATGATGGAATGCACCTTGAATCTGGCTTGGGGATCCTCTTCCACTTCCGCCGCCTCCGCCGCCTCCGCCGCCTCCGCCACCTCCGCCACCTCCGCCACCTCCGCCGCCTCCGATGCCTCCACCACCTCCGCCGCCTCCGCCACCTCCACCGGTGCTGGCTGTGAGGGGGGAGGAGGGTCTGGGAGCACAGATGCTTTGGTTGGACTCTTTTCTTCAACAACACTTTCTTGGGACAAATTTTCCCTGGATGGAGTCTGGCTTAGGTCAGAAGCACAGGTTTCTGGAGGACTGGCCTGGGGCTTTTCACTCTGCTTTTCTTCCTGCGCAGTCTCTGCCGGTTGGGCTGTTGTCCCCTCATCTGTAGCAGGACTCTTGCTTTGAACTTGCTTCGGTTCAGAAACGTGGGTCTCTACAGCAGCCCCCATTTTCTTGTTTGCACTTCGTTTGCGGCGTGATCGAGTTGTCTTCTGGCGTCCTTTGTCTTTCCGAGCAAGAGTGACTTGAGCTTCTTTTGAGCCCTTGGCTTCTGGCACCGGGTGGGAGGTTTCGCTGCTGTTTCCTCCAGCTTCCTTGTTAACTGCTGGGCCTGTAGAGGGGTCAGGGGCACTGACTGGTGGCCCAGAAGATTCTGTAGAAGCCTCAGTCTCCAAGATGCCAGACACGGCCTCATCGGTCTCAGGCTCCATTCCCTCCTCCGGAGGCTGCAGCTCTTGAGAATGGGGCTGCAGGTCTGTCTGAGATTCTGTAGGGTAAGGTGGAGGTGCTGGGAAGTTTTCTGGTTCTCCAGAAATGTCATTGATGATGGAACCAATTGCTGCAGCCAGTTCTGTTTCACTTGCCTGGTGTGTGGGCTTCTCCCTGTCCTCTGCGGAGAGGCCCTCTGTTGCACCTGTGGTCGCCCCCTTGAAAGCCGCGGATGTCTCGGTGAGCTTTGCGATGTTCTCCACAGCCTGCTCCAGCTCCATCTGCTTGGCTAACTGATTTGCTTCTGGGGACAGCTTAGGGGCAGACAGATCTTCCTTCTCTGGCTCCTTGTCTGGATCAGCTGGACCACTGTTCCCCTGGGGTGACAGGCTCTCCTTTGGGGGACTCCCGCTCTTCTCAGGGGAGACTGCCACAACTCCGGCCTCCTTCTCCACGGCCAGCCCCGCAGGGCCCGCAGCCACACTGGGACTGACGCTGGCATCCACGTTTTTCAGATTTGCAGATTTGTCTGCTACTGACCTAGAATTTCGAGATCTTCCTCTCTTTGACTTGGAGTTTTTTTCAGGGGCTTTTTTCTCTGCCACTTCAACTGGAGACGGTTCCGGTGGATTTTTGTCTGTGCCAACATCTTTTTTGTCACGTTTCTGTTCACTTCCTGCTTCTTCTTTATCAGCCTTGGACTTTGTGTTATTTTCTTTCACGTTTACTTGGGGGCTCACGTCAGTGGTAGCCTCAGGACGTTCAGCATCAACTTTCGGTTCATTTTTCCCCCTTTTCCCTTGTGGGCCACCAGCAGCTACTGATTTTTGGGACCGTGGGGACCTCCATCCCTCAGCTGGTTTAACTGTTTCGACTGGTTCTTTCGCTTCGGTCTCATCGTCTTCCTCGGCTCGACGGCGTGTTTTTGGAGGCCTCCCCCTCCTAGGGGTCGTGGGGGCTGCCGCAGCCTCCTGAAGCTCCCGCTCCAACCTCTTCCTGGTCACTCTTGGTTGCTCGACAGGCTCCTTGACTGGAGAGCGGCTTTCATGGTCACCCATGGTCGCATAGACGCTCCTTACATTCCGGCGCCTTGTGCGACTGAGAGGCAGACTTGGCTCAGGGTGCTCGGGGTCCGCGGCTGAGTGTTTAGAGGCAGTTCTTGTGATCTTCTCTGCCTCCATCTTCAACTCTAGGAGCTTCTGTGCTTCTCCCCGAGGAGAATTGGACCGCTTGAGTTTTTCCCGGTCTATCCTCTCACTCTTCCTTGTGACGGGCTTCTCTACAATACTTGCTGTAGCTGTCTGGATGGGAGTCTTGGAACGTTTACTTTTGTTTGGCTTTTTATCTTTTGTAGCAACTGGAGGGTCAACCTCTACATCTTCAGAAGCTTGAGGCTGAACCTCAGGAACAACTTCAGCTTTTGGATTTGCAGTGGGCTCAACATTAACAGCTGAGTCTGGCTTTTCCACTTTTGGCTCATCAGCTTCCTCAGGCTTCTGAGTTGGTTTTGAAAGTGGTTGGGTGCTCTCAGGTTCAGGCTCTACACTGCTCTCCACCTGGGAAAATGAAGCCCCTGGAGTTGGAGGCTTGGCATCCAGATAAGGCAGCTGGTCAACTGATGAACTTTCTCCAGCAACTAAAGGAATCCCAGCAGCATCCTTCTCGGCATCCACTCCTGGGGGCAAGTCTGTTTGTTTAGGCTGTTCCACAGCGACAGGAGCCAGTTCAGAGGTAGGTTTTGCTTCTTCTGAGACGGAGGCCAGCTCCACGGTCTTCTCTTCTGTCACCAAAGACACCTCTCCTGTTTTATCACCAGCTGTTTTCTCCAGGGATGATAATGTGGGCTCTGGAGTTACAACTGTCATACTAGGAGGCCCAACTGAAGACGGGGTTTTCAGTTCTGCCTCTTTATTCTCAGAAGCAGATTCTGGGGTCTTGGGACGATCTTCTGTATCTTCCAGTTTCTCAGCCTCTTTGGGTTTTTGGTCTTTTTCTTTTTCTTTCTGTTGCATTCGTGTGAGTTCCATAAATCTGCTATGGAAAAGAACTACTGGCTCTTGAATCAAATCGGTTGTGCTGTTCGCTCCATCAGATGCCTGCCTCCCATAGAACCTACCAGAAATGAAGTCAGAGTCTTCATCTTTTCTCTCTAGATGCTGCAAGCGCTTAGAATCTTGTTCAAAGATTGAGCTATGTAAAAAACGAGAAGCAAATAATTCTTGCCTTTCCTGTTCTTCTTCCTTATGATCATCTTTTTTATCATCCATTTTTCCTTCTGAATCAGTCCGAATTTTCTTTTTTTTCATGTACCAGGATGGAATAGGTCTTGGAGCAGAGTCAACCTTTTCTTTATCTTTGTTGTTTCGAAAATTAGCAAATCGGGAGTCCCAATCAAGAAAAGACCAATTTTCTTCTCTAGATGAAGAGAGGGATTTAGCTCTTTCAAGCAAAGCCTTAGTGTCTGGTGTGATTGTCTTATCCAATGCAAAAGAATAAAATTTGTTCCTTTCCAAAGAACTGGAGAGTCTTTCATCTCGCTCACGTAGTTTGTCTTCTCTGTCTCTCAATAAAAAAGACAGTCGAGAACTTTCATATAATGCAGAGGCTCTGGGTGAGTGGGATTTGTGTTCACCATCTTCATCAGAATCAGAAGGCACCTCACCAGGTTCCAAGTCACGTACAGACCTCTTTCGAAGGCTGTCTCTTTTAATTATGCTGTTTGGGAAACTCACGTCAAATCTGCTGGCATCTTGCTTCATTTGAGAGTCCCACCGATTTAGTTCATCTTCAGAATTCAAGACAGATAGCTTTATTTTGGCCATGTCTGCCATCTGTTCTCTCCTGCTGGAATCATAAGGATTAAATTTTAAGGATTCTTCTCTGACCGTTACGTTAGAATAGGGGACACTTTTTTCATCTACTTTAGGAGACCCTTTTACTGACATTAGCCTAGGGGAGCCTAAAGGGTCATCTTCCTCATGGAAGGAACCATGTCGGATACTGGGAGAACAACCAGTCCTTTCAGAATCTTCACTGATTTGGCGTGAACTTCTGTAATTCCTCTCCCTCTTGGTGCAGATATCAAAATCAACATGATCCATCCTTTTCTTTTTGCTAGGAGGAGAGTCGTCAGTGACATCTTGAGGGGGTTTACCTACCTCATGAACAAGACTACGTCTTTCATATTCATCTACATCTTTTTTAGGACTGCCAAACTTCTCAGTCTTGGCTATTTCCATCTCCATCTGCTGTTTTCTACGACTCTGCTCCATTTGTTTTCGGTAACTCTGTGTGTGATCAATATCGATGCCAATTTTTTCTTCAGTATTTACAGAATGTGGTTTCTCTTGGCCTGATTTACATTCAAGTGTTTCATCACGAAGACTGCAATAGTTTTTCCTAATATCTTCTCTCTCTGGTCCTTGATCATCTAATAGTTGTAGCTGTTTGAGCTGCGATTTTGAGGAAATGGGTTTTTTTGACTGGATTTCTTGGTTTTCCACAGATTCACCTACTGGTTCTCCCAGCCTTGCTTGTAGGTCTGAACTGGGCCTTGAGCCAGTCCCAACAGAAATACTGGCCAGCTCCTGACAGTCTTTAGGGCTAGGGACTACATTAAGTCTGTCTAGTTTGAGTTTTTTAGATTCTCTTTTAAGAATTTCTTTCCTCACAGGCTTTCTTTCAGACTCTCCTTCCCTCAACAGAATGACATCTCTAGATGATGTGTCAGGCTGCTTTTTTAAAAGTACTCGAGCATCCTCCATCTCTGGACTACTCTTCTTGACGTCTGATTTTTGCCTTTCTGCTTTCAAATTGGAATCTGCAAAACGCCTTTTCCTCGCTTCCAGCTTCTCCAGATCCACAGCACTTACCCCATCAGCAGACTGCTCTGGTTTTAGGTGCTTCCTGGTTTTAAGCCTGCCTTCCTTATCTACCACTTCTACATGGCTTGAAAGTGCCTTTTCCTTTGGCATTTTCATTCTAACAGATTCTGCTTTAGACGAGTCAGATTTTGCAGGCTCCATGTGAGAAACCTGAAGTTTCTGATCTAGGGCAGAAGACTTGACAGTGTCATTGTCAAGCTTGGCTTTCAGCTTTTCCAAAGGAGTATGGTCAATAACTTTCCCCTCTTTTTCTTTCACTCGAGTCAGAACCACACAAGGCATGAGTTCTAGGCGGTTTTTTGCTATTCCTTCTTTGTCAGCTTTCTCTCTGCTCAGTTTATTAGAACTCCTTGATTTTTCAGGGCTCTGTTCTCTTTCATTTTCTTGGTCTGTTTCTGAAGACTGAGAACTAGGGGAATGAACTTTTCCTTTTCGTTTTTGCTTATCAGTTTTGTCTTTTTCCACTTTTTCCTTCCTTATTAAGCGTCTCTCTCTTTCCACTCTCTCAGGATCAAAAGTTCGTTCTTTCTCTGTCTTTTCATTTTTTGTATAGCGTTCCAAACGAGATTTGTCAAGTTTTTCATATCTTGGAGGGGAAAGTGAGCTACAGCTTCCACTTCGATCTGAGGACCGGCTGTAAATCCTCCTCTCAGAATCGCTTGGTAATCTCTCTGACTGTGAGGGAGACGTTCCAGGACTCTGTGGGCGGCGCAAGTGCACTGGACTCTGACTGCGTTCAATTGGCCTCCTCTCATGGTCTCTGTCCCGGTCAGATTCAAATCTTTCACGTTCCCTCTCTCGTTCTCGTTGCCTGTAACTGTATTCCCGAATATCTTGCTCATAAGGATCATTTCTGTAGTCCCTGTATTCCCGAGGATCGTCATAATATCGTGACTCATAGTAGTCTCCTTGGTAAGTTTCCCATTCTGAATAAAATTCTCTCCCTCGAGCGGGATAGTCCCGTCTGGAATCCTCAGGATATGTGCCCGGAGTACGAACATTCTCATAATATGTACGATCTTGGCTATAGTCATAAGATCCCCTTCGTTCCTCTCTGCCAAAAAAAAAAGAAGAAGAAGAAGAAGATATTCTTTTGTTTCCTCGTTGTTTACACATTGAATCATGTACACGAGATTAATAAGTCTGGCTTCTAAATATCCTTGCCATTATTTAGTCATTAGTTAGACCTACACTGTCCAATAATATGTCCACTGCACATGTGGCTACTGAGAACTTGAAATCTGACTAGTTTAAATTGAGATGTGAGTACCAAATCTAAATTTGGTAGATTTACATTAAAAAAAAGAAGAAATACTTCGATAATTTCTTTAGATTGATTGTATGTTGAAATGATATTTTAGATATACTTAAATAAAATTAATTTCTTTTTCTCTTTACTTTATAATGTGACTACTAGAAAATTTAAAACCACAGATGCAGCTTCCATTATGTTTCTATTGGATAGCAGTGGTTCAAGCCCTTCTTTATTCGTTTAGTGTTGAGTGTTCCGACTTGTAACTAGAGCTCTAGTATTAAAGGGTATCATATCTCCACATTTCTAAGTCTTTCATAATTACTTTTCTGCCAAAAGATATTCTTACCACAACTTGGGAAACAAATACACTACCTACCTGACACAATATTTGAAGAAATAAATGAAATACTACTTTTGAACTGCAAAGCCCCTATGCAAATGGCTCACCATTTACATTCCTGAGCTGAACTATCATTAGAGGTAAACGTATCAACTATTCAGTGAGATGACTTCCTTCCACTCTGTGAAAAAGCAAAGATCCTTAAGTTCAACTGCAATAATTCTCCCTCTCTGGACTACTTTTCTTGACCTCTGATTTTCCATAAACACTGCCATCTAAAACCAAATGGGGCAAAACTGGGTTACAGTGAAGTCTCCCACCCTCCTGCTTCCTACTTTGGGAGATAAACTCCATTCGACAGGGATAAATAACCATTGGTAAGAAATAAGAACAAAGCCAGAGCCAGATCATCAGTAAAATGAGTGATTTAAGTAGTAATATACAAAAATTGAACACCCACGCAGTATTATCCAAACCTCATAAGACACTGTTCTTTGAAAAATATTTAACGTACGCACAGAGGATCTTAATGGATTTTTTATGTCTTAGGTGCCTCTAGATCACTAATACTTTCCACTCTCTTACAGGTAAGAATTCCTGTATGCACTTAAAGTATTAACAATAACTTCGAACTGCCACTTGAGGACCCATGATGGAGAACTTTTTTTCCTTTCTCTACAAAAATGTTCTGTTGCATATACATATACACACGTGTGCACACTCACACTCATACACGACTGACCAAGAAAAGCCTATCAAGACTGACTTTCTGCCTGGAGCACTGTTGATTTTTTATACCTTGGAATGTGGATTCCAATCTATTAGTGAAAAAAAAAAAACAAAAACATCAAAACCTTAGAAGTTTGAGCTTTTGAGAATTTGGCTGTGAGGGACATTTTTCATTTAAAAACCTTCCAAGTATTCAATGACCACTAAATATTCCCTAAGGAAATGACTCAAAGAAACATATACCTTCTACGATTTAAATAAAAATGAAGTGACAAGAAGCAGCAATAAAAAGGGAATGCACTCAACAGGTTTCTAGCAGCATGATTAGGATTTGGCGTTCTTGCACAGAGCGAGCCGTTTATACTTTTATGTTAACTTGAATGCATTTTTCACACACAGCCTTTTGTCTAACACACATGCACGAGAGTAGAGATCTAGTGGTAATATTCCAGAAGACTTAATCACGCAGGCATGTTTGGACAAAGAGCTTGATCATATGGATGATAGTTTTTAATTTCAAATGTGATCAGCTAGTGAAGAACCTGGTGACATAATGTTAGGATGTTTTAACATATTCAGTCAAAAAAAATAATTAATCATTAGTTCTGGGGCAGTTTTAAGCTAATAGAAATAGCCTGAGTCAGACTGTGACAACGTAAATGATTCTGACCTGTACTATTTCCTACAAGCAGCAGAAAAAATACTACATACCATGACCAACTGAAAAAAATTAACAAAGAGAAATAAAGTTTACTTTTTACATTGCTAAAGTTAACAATTTATATATGTTTTGGCTTATTGACTCACAAAACATTTAAGAGATAAATTAAAACAAAGCTCTTGACAGTCTTTTGAAAGTTTGGTTTTTAAAAAATTGATTGTATGAGCACACGCATGGTGACAACCTGGATGGTGTCATTACTAACTATACAGGACATTTAATAGTTTATAATGTATTTCAACATGTTATCATATTTAATTTAAAGGGTAAAGTTATAATCTGGCAAAATAATAACTTTCAAATTGTAGGAGCAGTCAGTAAGAAATGTAGATAGGTTACCCCAATTCCCATGAACCACATGAAAACTGGATTTATAAAAATAAACCTGTATTTCTCTACAAAGGGATAGAAGGGAAGAGGTTTCTTTAGAATTAGAGTAGAAAAGGGGTAAGATATAAAATTTATTCCCATGTAAATTATATATTAGAAATTTGAAAATTCAAGCTACGCTGATAGCCTTAAATTACATACCTTCTTTCTAATAACATTTCATAAAAGTCTCTGATATCTTGACCAGATTTTTCCATACAGTGATAAAATGCCAGCTGACTTTCTCGATTTGCAAAATCCACCTTCAAAGAAAATAATAGCAAGTGTTTGATGAAAGTTTCAGATTTTAAAAATGGGAAGTGTTACCAAATTTTAAAATTCTTACCAAAATAGCCCTCTGGATAAATTTCAAGAAAGAGAAATCTATCTCAATTAAGTGAAACAGTCCTCATAACTGACACTATTTTGTCAACATTAAATCTCTCTCAATTTCTACACAAATCTTGATAAAGAATTATAATTTTAAAATTCCAGAACCCAATCTAAAGGAGTAGAAAAAGCAAAATGGAAAACTGAAACAATATCTTGTAGGATTCTAGGTTGTCAATTAAATAATCCAGCAAACTCTACTATGCATAAATTTGCTGAAAGCACAGTTAACATAAAATAAAATATGTAAGAACATTTAAACTTTACTCACAGCTGGGCCTCAGAGTCACCAAAGCATATGATACCAATCATCTATCAGTATCTTATTTTCAAAAGACTTATTTCAATCTAACCATCACAGTTATTAAATTTATAAATTTCTTCAAGCTATCATAAACTGAAGTTTTTAAACAAAAACACCAAAATATCATGCTTTCAGTGGTTACCCACTCTTTAGGAGAGGAGGAAAGAAGAGGAAGAGTGGATAATTGAGGAAGGTGCACTGGCTTGGCACTCCAGCCTGCACCAAGAGTATACACATGAACATCAGGTTTCCAGGACGTAGAGAAGCACAATTCCTTGAATGAGAGGATTTTTAGGGAATATTCTGTGCTTACTAATTTAAAAGAACCTGTGCCCTCAGGTAGCCAATTATAAAAAGTGTAATTATCTCCCTTAAAAACTGAGGCCATATAATGTATATGCTGTAAACTACTCCCCTTGTTGGCAGACTACAAAATGCCAGTAATTAAGAGGGCAGGACCTGAATATGATTTTGTTTTGCTTCTGCTTAGTCATTCTGCATACCTTAATTTTATTCCCACCAATTTTCCTCCCCTTGGTCTCTTTTACAGCTGTTTGTGCATATTCGATTTCATTGTAGAGAACCAGGGCCATGCCTTTTAAGCGGTCAAACACCACCTGTAGAAAAACAAAAACAAAAACAAAAACAGAAACAGAAAATTAAGAGCCTCATCCACTAGACTTAGTGTCAGTCCCAGCAAAATCCTAAGTCACAAAGACACAGCTAAGGAAAAATACACTTATATACATTATATTCTAGGAAAAAATTCAGGCTTTTCCTGATGATGCTGTAGTGAAAACACAACGAAATATGTAGGGCCTGTTTAGAATCGTGCATATTGTGGCTTGAGGTAGGCTATTCCTTTATTTGTTCTTCTGTATTTTATTTTGTTTTCCATGTTGACTGAGTACTGTACTATATAGTAAGTCCTTGTTTAATATCAACAGGTTCTGTGACCTGAAACAAAATGACATATAACAAAACCAATTTTATCACAGGCTAAGAGTTAAGTTCCTATAGTACCTCATCAACTCATCAACATTATAATGAAGTAATGTTGAATGAAATGCCAGTTATATGAGGACCTGCTATATTAAGTAAGCATTCTTCTAGTATGGGCTCAAATAAATCAATATCCTTGGCAGAGAGAATATAAAGAGTACTGAATCAATAAAAAATTTCAGTGAATTTTGGTCATAAGTAGCACTACTATTTGAAAGCAGATTTTTATTTACACTGGCCACGTTTAAGATGTGCATTTCTTCAAACAAAAGCTACATTTAAAGACATGTCAAAATTATAAAACATGCCCACTACAGTGTAAATTTGCTTTCAAGGAGTTAAAGCTTTATCCTCACATAATGAAACAGGGTCCAGAGACCCTTTTCCTGTTATGTTTGTGAGTGTGTTGCATCAACATTGATTAGATGAACATTCTGTTGTGTGAAAGTCCCTTTAAAGTCATGATAAATTTTTTTAAAAATCAAGTCTAATTATGTATTAGTATGACTGTGAACAATTATATAATTTTAACGTGAGATATAAAAATTCCTAAGAAACAATCTATTTAACAGTATTATGCAGATTAGTATCAAAATTAATCATCTTGGCTGGTTCAAAAATAGTTCTTCAAAATACTCGTATCATAAGCTAGTATATGAGATGCAAATGCCCTTCTAGGCCAAATTTTGAAAAGGAGAATTTTAATGTATGAGTTATTAAAGAAAAGAAGAAGTTGAAATTGAGACTGAAAGGACAGAATACCAAGAAAAGAGAGTCCGAAGTAATTTTAAACTACACACCCAAACCTCCCACCTACCTTTACCACAGGCCCGTATCGGCAGAAATGGCGTGTTAAATATTGATCCGACACATTTGAAGAAAGCCCGTCTAACCATACACAGTTCGTAGGCATGCTCTTTCCAAAACCCAGCTGAATAGAAAAGGCAAAATTTCAATTAGTAATGTCACCAACTACAGAATTCTGAGAAAACCTATCTTCTATAGAAATCTTATCAAACCAACATCTCAAGTGTGAACCATTTAATTAAAATTAAAAATTTACAAAAAAGTAATCCTATCTGGATAAGCAAGTCTTAATTCAGATTATATATAGCAGGATGAGGATGCAGAGATGTGTACCACCTTTATGGTTATCTACTGCAATTTAAAACAATCAGTCATATGCACAAAAAAACTCCAAATCTTAAAAATCATAACAGTGCAATAACTTATGCAAATTCCTTTACCTTGAGGCGATTATTTCCAAGGTATTCTCCATCCATCTTCTTAATAGCCTTACAAACGCTGGCAATATCACAGTATTGCAAGAACGCATACTGGGGAACTCCATTTACTTTCTTAATATCGATATCCTGAAAAGGCCGAGGGATACCACTTAGTGATATGCCAACAAGAAAATAAATCAGAAACCAAGTCTACATGAGATATGTATTTCTCAAGTCATATTCCCCAAAACACTGTCTTAGTTAAAACTGTACACCTTAATGAAACTGTAAATTAGTCTAAAAAAACTACATAACACAGCATTTGTAGCCACCAACTCTGAAATCCTTCCCATGTGAAGCTCTTTGCTGAAGAGCAACTGCACTGCAACTCAAAATTTAAAATCCACAATACCTGTTTTAAGAGAAATTTATGACAATAAAGGAAGACTCATTCTATCTCACTGAACCAAGCCTGGTGATTGATAAATATGGTAATCTCTCATATCCAAAATGAATGGGTATATATATAGTTGAACTACTTTGTGAAAATGCATCAGAACACCATCCCTGGATTAAAGCACCACTCTATAAAGGAACACCTCTATCTCTTTGGAATGCTCGAAACCTGTAGTCACAACTGATAACTCAGGTACCACCTAGTTAAAGGAGGTGGTGAAAAAACCTGGCTTACACTGAAAATGGTCCAGAGAAACCAGACACTTGGATGGCAAAACTTGTTTTTAAATAGTAATGACATAGGACATACATTATAATTATTATGATTATCTAAGCTTCCTTTTATGGGTAACAAGACAAAAATCAAAACCTAAAAGAGCAAAACAAGTAAAATGCATTTAAAGAGCTGTTTGGTGGGTCCTTTATACTCAAAAGTGTTCTAAGTAATGGTAAATACTCACTTTGATTTTCATCATTATGTAGAATGTAATAACCTAGGAAAATTCTACTGAAGAGAAATAGTCTCCAAAGAATATTGGTGGGTAGACCCAGTAATTAGACTCTTTCTAGCCATAGCATAATCTGTTATCAATAAGCAGCAGATCATATCCCCAAAGTTTGTGTTTCATTAAAATAGTGATACTCATGAGCAATTGCAAACATGATGAGATTATGTTTTCAAAAAGAACACTGAGGTATCCACCTTACTGGAAAGCACAGCACTAAAAACACAGTTTTAGCAACCCTGGTGATGAAGATGTGTCCATGTGCTTAAATACAACTTTTTATACTCCTCCAAAATTTAAAGTAGCAGCTACATTCAAATAACACTATATCTGAAAGTTTTATCAATTCATAGACTTGTGAATGCCAAACAGCAAATTCATAGATCACTGTCTAAAGAAAGCAGCAGCTGGAGCCCATAGGAATGTGAACTCCACGTCACTCACCTAGGTAGAGAGTGAAGCTGGAATTACAGTACAAATATACTAGAGCAATTTCTTCACTGCTATTAATATAAAGTCTTAAAAAAGACATAAATAATTTCCTTACTTTTTTTCAAAACACTAAACAAAACAGTATATCCCAAGGGTACAAAGCTGCAACCAAAATACTTTCTCTATAAACTGCTCAAGTTTTGAGTCATAGGGAACAGAAAAATCCTTCTATTCCTAAATCTAACAATGACTTGCATAATATAAAAAGTGATTCCAATTAAAATTTCAGAACAGAACTGAGCTTCCAGCATGACATCCATGCTCTAGTAATCCCTGAAGTACTTCTGATGTGCATTGTGGTAACACAATAATCATACATTAATCTGCTGTTTCTTTCTCACAAACACGTTTTCTCTTCCAGATTTTCCTTTCAACCCAGAGAACTACAGATGGCATTAAAACAGCAACCAATGGAAAAAGAAAAATAGGGAAAATGGATAGAAAAAAGTATATCTAAACAAAATAAAAACAAATATATATTACGTATTTTTACATATATACATAATAATCCCGAGTGTGTTTTCCTAATCTTTTAGCAGGAGTTAAAAACATACAGCAAATGAGAAAAATATTCATCACGCCTTCCAAATATCACCTTTCTAAATATAATCTGTACTATGCTTTATGATTTTTGACAAAGATCTAAAACTTTTTATTGTGAAAAGCAACATACCACAATTTCTCCAAAGCGCTGGAAGATGTTGCGAAGGTCATGGTAAGTAGTGGTTTTTTCAAGATTACCAATAAACAGAGTTCTTGTTGCTTTGGGGTGAAATTCATCTATCCTTTCATCCAAAGGGCGAAATTCATTTTCGCTTTCTGTTTCTGTAAGTGGAATGGAGGCAGAGTAAAAAGAGAAGAGAGTGTTTTAATGTGTATTTACATGTTATGGGAAAAAAATCTACGTTTAAGAAACTAAATCTCTGAAATACTGGGCTCGAGTACTTACACAAGCCAAAAAATTATACACACCTTCAGAAATAGCTGCCTCTTGTTAAATCCAAAGCAAAAGAGGAATACAAAGAAAGAAACTTGTTCCAAAAAGTAGGGGGAAGTAACACTTTGTTTGATCTTTAAAATAGAACAGTGGACTAAATTTCAAACTGCTAAGCTGATTTATTTTAAAAATAATCACTAACACAAAAATAGATTTTAAGCCCCAGCAAAAATGATAATTTTAGCCTAATCTTAGGTTCCAAAATTATGTAGCAGGCTCTCAATGTGGAATAGAAAACTACAATCTGAAATACACATAACTCAGCTGAAATTGTCCAGCTTCATTATTTAAACATTTAATAAAATATTTAGATTTTATATTTCTCATACTAATTAACATAACCCAAATGTCTAAACGCAGCAATTTTTAGATATAAGAATAATATCTGTATGAAAACTGACTGAAGTAACACTTATGAAATATCTTCTTTTGGCGCTGCGCAGACCTCAATAACAAGCAGAAAGAGACCAAATGACAAAGTTTCTGCTTCTTAGGATCAAAAGCCCTGGTGTGATGTCTAATGCAATGATAGGCTTTCTCTGAAGCTCTACTTATTAACTTGGTCTAGAGCAGGGACACTCAATGTTTTGTTGATCATTATAATGTAGCCTATATGTTCTCTTTCTTAATGTAAAACAAAGCCATCCAAAAAAGTTAATATTGAATCAACTTCACTGAAACAAAGTGTTTAGTGCCAGCCATGAACATCAGTGATGCCATCAATGACAACACTGGTGTTAAAAAGGCTCAACTTCTGAGCTGTTGAGTGAACTCGGCCAGAATACATCTTACTCCTGATTCCAATCTGAAAGCTCTAGTGGCAGCTCAGCTTAATCTTACCAGTGTCAACAAAGAATACATACTTTCACAGAGTCAAAAACTGCCCAGGGCTCATACACCCGTCTCCATATTTTCATCATTATCTCTCAGGGGTATATCTCATTTCAAACCCAACTAGCTCTTCTGGAAATTATATAACTAAGAGTGCACATATTTAGGAATAATTCATTTTAAAAAGCAGAAAAATTCAAAAGAAAAAAATAATTTAGACACATCTTGAGGTTCGTACTTCAAAAGGCAGAATCAGAAGGATAAAGCATGATTTGCAACCATTAAAATTTATAATGGCTTCATTTCCACCAAATAGCTCAGTAAAAATTTCAAAATCGGAAATTCAGTTTAGCAAAGAAAAAGAGTGAATTTTGCACATATAATCTATTTAATCTTCATGACCAGTTTAAGTCTTAATGCCGACATGACACTGAAAAAACTCTTTCATGCTTAGGGGATTGTAACACTGCATAGGAATAAGAAAGCACAATCTTAGAAGTCACTAGGGGCTTAGAGCTTCTTAGAGCTGAATTTTTTTTAATTCCAAAAGGTCCTTTACCTTAGTACGCAATCAGCTTCGTACATTTCAATACAAAACATTTATGACTTAAACCATCTAACAGCATAATTCCAACCAAGTCTCCACACTCAGAAGCAATTGCTTTCAGTCTATTAAACTGATGTTTCGCGTTGTCTTGTCTAGGAAAAGACCTTCAGTTTTCCTATGTTCGAACCAACCAAACTACTCAAAATCTTCACTGGTAGATGGTTAAAATCCAATTACATCCCGGGTGTTAAATAATTAGGTAAAATGGGTTTTTTTACAGTAAAAATCTCAAGCTAGCCCCACCACTTGCAGATCAGAGGGTCCCTATTGATATAATGTCCTTGAATTAGAGCCTCGCTACTTAATAATTATAGATGGCTCTAAAAATGTATATAGATTATATGACGTTCTTATTCCTCAAGTCAGTTCTGACCTGCTCCAAATCTGTTAAATAAGAACTCCTGAGCTGCTTTTAGCTCAGTATAACTCGGGCAATACATCTCGAACCTGGCAAAGAGACAGGAAATGAAGGCATAACCTAGAATTCCTTTGAAAGATCGTATTCCTTTGAATTCCTGTTTCTCATCACAAAATTTTGCACATTTTGTAGTATTCGGTCTAATACCTCTGTGCCTGTTTTAATACAAAAATATCATTTACACATTCTTATCAGGGAAATTCTATTTTTTCCTCGTCAAATAAAATGAATATTCAAAGAAAATGAGTTATGTTTACCTTATAAATTCCACTCAAAGTCTTAAAGTTCGATTGTCTGAGCTATGTAGTGTGACTGCATAATTATAACGTTTCTATTCATTCCTCTACAAATGTATTCACAAGTTGTCTTAAATTAGGGATCCCCAAACTTGACTATGCAAATTCTGAACCAGTAAGCTGGGTGGGGTAAGGTCAAAGAGTATGCATTTTAAACAAGCATTGCAGGTGATACTAAACAGGAGAAAAATGACCCAAGGCCATCCCTGAGTAGACTTCCTGCCTTACAAGAGGTCTTACAGGTAGGTTCAAGCTAAGAAAATGTCCCCTTGAAATTCTCAATAGGTCACACTCATAAGACTGTGTCTTTGTCATTATCTTTCAAGGTCATGAAAGCTAGAATAACATATCCAATTTGTGCTGGGCATAACAAAAATAAAACTGGTCTAACTAGTCCCTCATATCGATATAACAAGTAGTTTGTTTTCTAACTCAGGCTAATTCTGTTTGTCATTGTCCTAGGAACTATCTCTTTACCTCAATCAATTTAATCCTGAAGACAGGACTCAACAAGGGGCTAAACTCTGCCTTTCAGACTCACGTTAAAAGTCAGCATTTCTCCCTCATAGACAGAACAATTTTTACCCTAACTAAATAAATGCAACCACTCTTTAAAGAAAGAAGACACTGGAAGTGTGTCAATAAAGCTGGAATAGTTGGCCACATTCAGGAAAATATGTTGCCCTTTCATAGGTTGGAATACAAATTACACTAAAACTCAGCTTCCTTGTCTCTTACCTGGCCCTATCCATGCTGTTACTTCAATCTGCATGCCAAAGAAAAGTTTTCCTTTTGATGCAGTCAATGCTTTTTCTTGGTCCTCTTGCTGCCGAAAGAATACCAGACCATACCTCTCTTCTGAAGCTCCATGTATCTGCACTGAAGTCACCTTTCCAAATTTCTTAAATTCATGGAAAAGGCCATCTTTAAGGCTTGTATCTAAATCCCCAAACAAAAACAAGTTGCTTATTTTTTTAATTTAGTTACAACCCAATAAGTAAGCTACTAAATCACTAGCCTGATTTCTGACCTAAGTTTTGTTAGCATTAAAACATTAATTTTTCAAATAAAATAACTCTAAAAAGACATTTTGGAGACTACTGTACAATTTTGAAAATAAATTAGGTGTTAGAAGATGTATTATTTTTTAAAATCTGGAGTCTAGTGTAAGGAAGTTCATTCTGCTACTGCTACTTTTGGTTATGTTTAAAACTCGTAATAAAAACTTTACATACATATATAAGAATTTTAAAGACTTTAGAAAGAAAGCCATACTTCTAGCTTTCTAAACATCATTTCAATAATAAAAACGTGTGGGAAGTGGCACTTACAACATTCTAAACAACTTTGAAGCCTTTTACAGATGTATCGTACCATCTGGGGGTCTTGTGTTAATTCGCCTCATCATAAAATTAAAATTTTATAGAAAGACAAGCCAATTTTACCTCCTGTCCATTCCTAAATTACTAAGTAATCTAAATCCAAAGCTCATGTGTCTTAATTTATCTGTTCACAAACCTAGTATGTAGGTTTCATAGGCTGTTTAATAAATAATTTTAAGTAATCACTCAAATATATTTGGCTAAGAAATACTTAGTGTGGTCTCTGTTGGTGTGACCATCTACTATCAGTTGTTTACATATTCAATATACCTAGTTTAAGAATAAGAGTATATCATGGTCAATTGTCAATTAAAAATGTCAGGAGTAAAAGATTACAGCTTTTCACTCGACTTTTCCATTATTAATGATCTTCCTCTTTTAAACTGTTTTAAATATTTTGAAATGGGTTTTCTATCATAATTTTATGTCCAAAGTTATTTCACATAACACAGGACTCCAGGCCAATATAATAAATCTAACTGAAAATAGTATTTCTATAATTTCATCATACCAAATTTCCCCTAGTATCAAAAGTTAATCCAGAAAGCATATTTATTCAAAAATAAACCATGGTTTTTATATAACATGTACTATATAAACTTTATGTGTATCTATACATGCATATAGTATGTATATGTGTATTTGTATATAATAAGTACAAATAAAACAACATGCAATCTTTATACATAACAAACTAGAAAACTATATAAAGTTATAATAATCACTTGCTTTTTCTTTTTTCTTACATGGCATTAAACATTAATGAACCACAAAAACAAAGCTTATTATCACTACAAAGTACAGGATTCAAGTTGCTCGGTCTCTCATTCCCCATAGTAGGAGCGATGGAAAGTACAGTTTTTACCTGTAGAGCGTACTGGAAGATTTTGAACTTTGATCCCAAAACTTTTACGGGGCTCATCTTTTTCCAAGGATGAAAGCAACTGGGAAGTGGGTGCGGGGACTGCTGCGGATTGAACTGATCGGGCTGGAGAGTCATCACTTGAACTACTGCTGGAATCGGTGCTGCAGAAGGGAAAAAAACTTTAGTGAAAAGACAAACAGAAAATGAGTAGTATATAAAATTTCTTAAAATCAACAATTAATAAGCAATAATTAAAAGATCTAAATTTTAGGTCTGAAATGTCAGGATACCCTTTCCTTTTCCACATCTATTTCTTTTTTCTTTTTATTATTATTTTTAATTATTTTATTTTATTATTATTATTTATGTCTACAGCACTTGGTCTTTCCATATCTATTTCATATTCTACCTTCAGACATAACAGAAGACAGCAAACACTGGTCTGAGAATGTGGAAGCAAAAACATTCACCACCACATGCCACCTCAAGACAAATGCTTCATTCTGTGCAAAATTTGAAGTTTTTTCCAAATGTAAATAAATACAATTCACTTAAAGGTAATAATGATAGAACAGTGGGTATATGGGTTTGAATTCAGAGAGCTCAACTCTAATCTTGGCTCAGACATAACAGCTTGTATTCTTGGACAAGGCATTAAACCTCTTGCTAAGCCTCAGTTTCACACATGTGTAAAATGAAAATAATAACAGTAACTATTCTCCTATGGTTAAGAATTAAATAAAATGATCCACAGGTTTACAGAGTCTGGAATATGACAGCATTCAATAAAGAGGCACTGCTCTGTTACTATTATTCTACTACTACCACCTCAAGAATATATTATTTTTTTAGGAAAACACAGATAGCCAAAATAATTTCCCAGGCAATTTTAATTTAAAACTTTTTGAAGGTCTAATGAAGAAATATTATGTAAGCTGCTTGAGTCTTGTTAGTTATAGGCTCTTTTCTCTGTGAATGTGGGAAATGAGAGTCAATGAAATTAAATTTATTACTTTTCAATTTAATACAATCCTCAAATGGGGAGACAGTCAGTTGAAAGACAAGGAGAAATAGTACCAACATGGTCAGAGTGAAGAGTTTTTAAACAAGTTTATTATGCCTAAGAACTATATGAGAAATATAAAATTCTCTTTGGTACTGAATGTACAAGACTGCTATGGTTTTAAGTTCTTTTATAGCCTTCTCAAATAGATTAATAAAAAGATATTTACAGATTATGCTATTTATAAGTTTCTAAAATTCTGCTTCATACTCAACCCTCCTTTACACATATATATAACTCTATGTGGTTAATCCACCTTTAAGCACACTTGCTATAGGAAAGACAGTGTTTTTGTTTTTGTTTTTCATTCGAAAAGCTCTCATATCCAAGACAATCTCTATGTCAGCCTAATTAATATATCCAACCCTAGGATCTGAGGCAAATTCGCTATTGCTTTTTTTAAAAGTAAAAAAATAAATACTATATGAAAACAGGGTGTTATAACTAAGAATTTACACAGCATTTTTATTTATCTTTCACATGCTAAGACAAAAAAATGAAAACGTCATGAGGTTATCAGAGCTTTCTGTAGTTTGAAACACAGAAAAATAAACCTATGCCAGTAAGAGCCAAATGATGATATCTGAGTTACAAAATGCAAATGAATGAGATAAAAGACTCCAGACAGAACTGCAAGTCATCACTCTCAGGTCTCCTATAACCACTAGGCTTCAGTTTTCCCAACTATAAAAAGAGTTATCTTTTTTAGATCATTCAGCAAAAATAAAGTAGTGTTATCAGTACTAAGTGAACAGGATACTATATTTTCATTCAAATTAAGGGTTAACAAAATTAATCTTCTGTTTTAGCACAGGAGAAAAATGCTTGTGATATATATTAAGTACTCCAAGCAATACAAGACTATTCACAAGGCCACCGATGACTACGGTATAGAATGTTATGTGACTTATCAGCTTAATTCCAATGAATCATGAAATAACCATTAAAGAAAACAATTACAATACTACCAATATTACATACATAAAAGTTCTTTAGTAATATTGGGTAAAAACGTAAACTAATATGGGCAAAAGCAGAATTTCTGGCTATTGAAGTAATTAATGAGGCAACAAAAACAAAGTTCTGTGTGTCTATTATAAATATGGAAAAGAAGTCGATCAATGGTAAAAATGATTTTAAAGTACAAATAGTGATGGAAATCAGATTTGTTATAAATGCCATCACACTCTTGGTGAATTCCCTACCACTATACCAAATCTGAAACCACCTGATGTAGAATTTAAATGGTAGAATTATCTGCAGACCAATTTAAAGTGATAATTAGAAAGGAGGAAAGGTTTTAAAGTGAATTATTAAATGATAAAATGATACAACTTTTGAGTTCACATTTTGATATGCTAACCTAAACGTCAATGTACATTTCCAGTATCGTCTACTAAATGTACTATGAATTTTAAGATCCTGAATCAACATGGGGACACAGATTGAGACCCCCCCCAGCCACCAAATAATTTTCGATCTTACTAAACTGACAGAAAGCCCAAGAGTCTAGAATGTGTCAATTTTAATTTTTTTTAATTCTTATTTTCATATTCACTGAAGAATCATAACAGTTCATCAAAACATAAGATCTATAGTATTTAGTTGTTTCTTAAAAGCCAAAAGTAGTTAATATGAAGCTACTCCAATTTAAATTGTCTTAAAGTAGTGATAATCGTGAATCAACTAAGTTTCAAGAAAGTAGGCTTTAAATTTATCTGGCCACATCAATATTACATTTTCAACATCAACTAAAAGTTCTAATTAGTAGAGAACTTGAAATAAATACAATTTAAAAGAAATCTAGTTATACTTTTCCCCTAAGCACATAAGACAATTAAGGCTGAATTGTTTCTTACATGTGATTATAATTTTTAATTTGAATTACTTAGAAAACTAAGCTGATCTGATCAAATAAAATTTCCATTACAAAGAAATAACAAGAATAAGCAATGGTTGTAAGACAATTCTTGATAAGCAAACAGAATATGGGATGCCAGGAGTCTCTTAAACCAAATTATGGTGTCAAATAATCAACTATCCCTGTTCCTACAGACATTTTATACACAGAACTATAGTGAGCATTTGACTCTAAATGCTGAAAATGTCAAGGCACTGGGTATACTATTTATAAGATGACCCAGGACTAAATTTATTCACATACAAGAGTAACATCCAATGACTAACTTCTTCATCTGTATTCTGTATTATTTGTAAACATTTAATTATGATAAATATACACTCTATTTTTTTTTAAGCTGGCAGATTAAAAAACATTTAACCAAATTAAGTTGAGAAACAAAAAAATCTGGCATAATTTTTTAAAAAGTAGTAATTAAAACAACTAGAAAACTTTGCAATTTAAACATTTGAGAGGGCCCATTTGTTAAAAGCAAATACAATCTCAAGTGACAATTTTCCAACAACCTTTCTTCTCCTCCATCAGGTAGTTAATAATTTTTTTTTTCTCTCTACTTAATCAATATATAAGCTTGAGTCAAGAGAAAAAAGATGCAAAATATTTTCCATCAGGCTTGGTGCTTCCATCAAATGTGGGGGGAGGGGAAGTTAAATCATATAATTTCTTAAATGGAATGTAGCACCACATACCAGGTAAGAATCTCTCTACATCCAGTTTTTACAGGTCCAAATTTTCAAGACAATCATATCTTTTTTTGTGCAACAGTTCTCTACATGTGGTATGAGGTGCTATAGGGGCCCCCAGGGTCCTTTTAGGAGGTCAATGAGGTCCTCCCTATTTCAATTACATATCTGTGTGAGACCAGATTTTCTTCATATAGTTCACACAAAAAAGGCATAATCACAGTTCAAATACAGAAAGTTACGAAAATCTAGCTCATTAAATCAGACATTAAAGAGATTTGTGGAAAGATAAAACAATGCCAATTTGTCTCACTGTTTTTTTGTGTTTTCAAAAATAGTTATGTCATACTAGCTGGAGATCTAAAATTAAAATTGACTAGAGAAGTTGCTCCCCAGAAGCAGATATCTTGAGGTGGACAGCTCTCCCATGATTGTGGGTGAAGATTTTCATCTCCATACGAAACCTTTATTCCTTTTGCCTTTTCGCTTACTTGCTTTTCCTGTTAGTGCATAGGAAAACAATGCTCCCTTCTTTATTCTGGCAACTGTAGCTAAGGCCATAGCTGCACAACAAAGTCCCTAGACTTTCTTGCTAAGGTGGTTTTAAATAACAACTGCTTTGGATTACTTACTGGCTGAACAAGCCATAAGTCTGTGCCATACCTCCTGTTATACCTGGATCAATACCTCTGGTATTGTAGCAAATACAAGCAATTAACAAACAGGCTAAATAAAACAGGTTGAGGCTGCTTCAGGTACATTATTTATCTGATACCAATTGATTTGGTTCATAGTTAGCTCTCATTAAGGAACGTACTTCAGTCTCTTGTTATTATCTAACTGATGACAGTCATCACTGCAGTCCCCCTGATGGGCTATGTTCTCTCAAGGGTCTTAAATTCCTGTCTGCAGCCATCAGCAGTACATCAGATGGTTTAACTGCACTTGGAGAAACAAAATGAACGATGAGATGAACAACAAAAACAATTCTTTCATGAACCTGACATCATAACCAATGAGTTTCAAGACAAGAACTTAATTAATAGTGGCCAAGACAGTGGCACTAATAAACAATTTTTAGTTAATTTCTCATATATGAGAGATGATAAACAAAAGAGAGAAGTTGTTAAGTAAATGAGGAGGCTGAGGTGGTTCTAATATCTTAGCAGCCTGTATAAGCAAACCAAAATCTAAGCTCATAAATGCCTCAAGGTTAAGAAATCAAACCTATGGACAGCCAATCACAAAAAGCCAATTAGGCCTTTCCAAATAAGGCAACTGCTTACACTATAACCTATCAAGTAATTTCCTTGTTTTGCTTCCATCTTTTCTCTATCGAAGTCTTTCCCCTAGCTCCTGTTGTGGAGCACTCCCAACCACTTCTTTGGCTCAGCCCAATTCCAAACAATTTTTGCTTAAAGAAACTACTAAAAGTTTAAAAAGTAAGAAAAATAGTTATATCAAATGAATTAAACAAAAATTTCAAATTCAAAG